CTCTGCCTTGGAGCCAGCTAAGTATGGACTGAAAACCTCCACTGACTGTGAGCTAAATAGATCTTTACTTCTTTAATTGTGGGTGTTGGGTATTTGTCCTAGCAATGACAGAAGAGTAACTGAGACACCCATCTGCAGCACCACAAATAGAAGCAAAAGAGACATGGCAGATGTATGTGGGAAATCTATAATTTTTAGATCTTCTGTACTTGAAATAACAGCGAGAATTCAAGAGGGGAAAGGACAGTAGTGAAAGGCTTGAAATTCTTGTTGAGAGAGGAATAAGTTGTGGCTTAAGTGTTGAGTTGGTTATTCTGTCAAACAGTAAGTAAGGGGTTATCAGTCACTGTGCTTCATGCTAGAGACACTTGATCAGGAGAGACATGGATCCCACTGTCATGGAGTTCAGGCTCAGGTAGGAAAGATAGGTACAAAATAACTATTGCAAATAATTAAACAATGTTTTAACATATAAGAACAAATGGAAATGTATCATTGGTGGGTCTGATGTAGTCTGAAGGTCAGGGAAGGCCTCTGTGAGGATTTAAGATGAAGATGAGAAGAAAGACAAAGGCATGAACAGGTGTGGGAGGAACAATCCAGGGGACAAAACTACCTGCACAAAGTTATGACCAGAGTGGTGAAAACCATATCAATTGTGACAAGGTCTAGTTGAAGTTCGAGGGTTGGGAGAATGATCAGAGAAGATGCAAAGAGAAAGATCAGGTGTGACTTTGGGGAGGTGCTAAAGTACCTTTGGAAGAAGGTAGCTTGGAGAGATGATATAGGAATGGGCAGTGCAAATAGGGGAGGAGTGGGGGAAACATATAGGTATAAAAAGGGATGAATTGTGTTGTTAACTTAGGTAGCAAGCAGATTCTCCAAATAGTAAGTGCATTTTGGAGTTGTGTTGCAATGGGAATACAGTGTCATGGTGGACTCTATGTATATTAGAAGACACTGAGGCTAGGGGAACTTTTAAAAGGCAAAAATGACAATGATCACATCTGATAATTTGAAGCAATGATCCTTTGCTACAAAGATCAGTAATGAGGGTGGGGCCAGTCCAAGATTAAACAGACACTTGTTGAGCAAATATCCTTATGGAAGTATTTTCTGTATAAGATTACAATGATCTTTCCACAAAGTTATGGTTCTGACACTCTGATTTATAATAGTTTTTGTTATTAAACATGAACATGAGATTCTCCTCCTTTACAATTTCCTGGATTTATTTATTTCATTCTATTTTTCAATTTTTATTTTTCGTACTGCTGGGAATAGAACCCAGAGCTTCACTGAGGCTAGGTAGGTACTCTGTAACCACTGCGCTACCTTCATAACCTCTGCTCTATTTTATAAAATTAGGCCTTTAATGCAAGCAACTCCATGTTATTCTCACAACTTTCACAGTATCAGGATCTGCCAAGCAACCCAAGAGCACAAGCAGTGCAGAGAAGCCAGAAGTTTGACTCTAAAGATGCTGGTGACCTTCAAAGCTGTAGTCTGAGTAGGAGTGGGAGCAGTCAGGGTGCTGGCCTTGCTGGGGTAGCATGTGGGAGGGAAGTTGGGGGTGTGGGCACAGAGCACTCATTCTAGAAGTCAGGTCGAAAAGAAAGGGGAAAGACCATAGGTCAAAGGGGAGAGCAGCATTTATATTTTTCTCCCTATAAACTACACTGGAGAAACCTGAATGTGTTTCAAAGGTGTTCTTTGAAAAAGTTCGGTGACACCACAAGAGTTTTTTTTTTTTTTTTAAATCTGTGTGTGTTTATGTAGTTTTAAAGTATTTAGTAATTTCTTTTCTTGACATTTTCTTACTTTATGATGAAATGCTACTTTTCCCAAAGGTTTATCCATTATGTACTTTGAAAATACTTAGTTATGTGATCTGTTTTGTGGCCTTAGCAACTTTTTGAAAGGAATGTTCAAGTGGTAAACCTTGGAAGATTTCAAATAATGAAATGTAATAATTTTTATTCTCAAAATATTCTATATTGTCTCACACTGTCCCTCCCTTCTTCTTTCTTTCTTGTGATATTGGGACTTGAACCCAAGACCTTTCATTGAGCTGCATCTTCAGCCCCTTTTAAAACAATCTTTACTTTGAAGGGCAGGGGAGATGGCTCAGTAGAATAAGCACTTCCCTGGCAAGCGCAAGAGCCTGAGTTCAATCCCAGGTTCTGGAAAAAAAAAATGGACTAAAGTTTGTGCTCACTTCGGCAGCACATATACTTCGAGATCTTACTAGGCACTACACTACTCAGGCTGGGCTCAAATTTGTAATCCTCCTGCCTCAGCCTGCCAAAGTGCTGAGGTTACAGGTGTGTGGCACTGTGCCTGGCTCTCTGTTCTTGTAATGTCATCCTTTCCTTCTGCTTTCCATAAATATGCAGTGCCTTCAGCATAAATGCCTTCACAGTTCTCACAGCTTCAAGTATTATTCCATTTCTCTCTTGCAAGTCTTCTATGAGCAGATAAAATCACTGTCTCATTTCTTCCCTTTTGAGGTCAGAATTCTTGAGACACTAAGTCTACATTTGCTGACTTGATTACATTTGCTTGGGTCCTTTCAGCCTGGTTTTTGTTGCTACTGTACAGAAAGTGCTGTCTTACCTATCTTAAAAATTGTTGGTAACATCCGGATACCAATCAGAGAGCATCTTAACTTAGTTTAAGGGTTTTCTTCACATAATTTGGTCTTGATTCACCCTATAGTGAACTCTCCTCTTTTGCTGGCTTCATGGCCCTGTTTACTTTCTACTTTCTTCATTGTTTTCAGTAACCACACTGCCTCCAACAGACTCCTAGTTATAAATATTTTCAAGACTTTGGGTCTATCTTTTCTTGAATTTCTATATCAGGGACAGCAACTTGTAATCTACAGCCTCGCTCTGGCTTGCAGACACTTTTACGTGGGTCATATGTGTTTATAGTGGCGCAATTTATAATAGCCAAATCTTGGAAACAGTGCCTATGTCTAGCCACAGATGAACAGATAAAGAAAATGTGGTATTTGTTTACAGTGGAGTGCTAATCAGCCAGAGAGAAGGATACATTTGAGGCATTGTTAGGTAAATGAATGAACCATGAGACCATAATCTTAGGGAAATACAAAAGACACACAAAGTTAAAAATCACATGGTTTCTCTTATATGAGAAATACAAAGTATAAATAAGAAGCAAAAAAGAGAAAAAGATGTTAGGAAGTAGAAAGATCTTTTTTAAATAGGAAGAGAAAAAGAGATGGAAAGAAGGAAAAGGAAGGAAGGGAAAAGAGATTTAAAAGGAAAGTTGACAAAAAAAGTGGAAATAGAGCTTTTGCAAATGGGAAACAAGAGCTGATGGGAGTGGAGAAGGAGGGCAGGGGAAGGGGAAGAACTAAGAAAAAAGAAGTGCAATGGGCATGTCCAGATTCTCCATGATGAATACGATCACTAGGTCCTGTGAATGTGTACTAATAAAGAGTAAGTTGATATCTTTAAACATGAAAACCAGTTTAATAAACTGAAAGAACATGAAATATGCCATAATCATTCAAATAATGTTAAAATTAAAAAGTACTAATTTGTATTTCTTATATTTCTTTGTACTTATTTAAATTTTCTATCAGTGCATATAATGTATATTACAGAACATGTATAAAAATTTAAAGAATAATTATACAGTAAGTGCCTACGTAAGGTGAGAAATAGCCATTCGTCAGCACCTCTATATTTATATTTCTCAACCTGCACCCTGAAGAGAGCCATTGTGTTTTGGGGTACTGATTCCTCCGAGGGAATA